TAGACAAATTATATCAAATTTTAATTTCTCTAATTTATGAAAGGTTTTCCTTCTTTTAACGGCTGAGTTAAGTCCATTTATATTAATTGTAATCAATTTTTTCTCTTCCATGGTTATATTTTATAGTTAGGTTTAGCAGCTCTCGTAGATCTTAGTTCACGTTGTTCTTTGGCTTCCACCTTTCCACCTACTGCACCTTCTTCTTTTTCAGTGGCCATTTGGCAGTCCTCTTGGAATTCAATTAGTGAGATCTCTTTTTCTGCCTCTTCCTAACAAATTATTCCTAACCATAGCAAAATAGTACAAGCAACTTCTTTAACAGAAGCAAAGAGAAAAGGTTAGATTGATTTGTGTCAATATGTCCTTTCAGTAGGAAAGTGACTATATGGTTTGATCCTCTCTGATTTCTTTCTCCGTTTTCTTCTTCAAAAGGAAGCTTTTGTCACTGTCTTTTATATCCTTACAGCAGAATATTTTCAGTCTGCCCACATTACTTTGGTTAAAGATTTACAATTTCAACAGTGTCCTTAAGTTTCTAATCAGGATCCTTCTGTGCCATCGGCAGCACAGAACAAAAGCTGGCAGAGGTGCTTCCGGAATGTTGAATCAATCACAAAGTTCTAAGCTGTCCATGCTCAGAAAGAGTTGCCAAGGGTACCAATTAGTATAAAGACGGCCCGAGAGTAAGGGGTAACACGGGGCAAGAGTTACTCCGTGGCCTTGACCATGGATGGGGGTTACCAGCTGTGGGCACCTTGGTCTCCACTAGATGAATCTCTGCAATGGCTGAGGGGCACCTTCCCCAGGCCAGGGGCTTCCAAGCCTCTCTTTCGAGGAAGGCGGAGCCCGGCTGCTGCAGATTTAGAAGTGCAGCTTTGTTTCCAGGGCCTGAGCCTGGTCCTGGAGTCTCGTGCGAAGATGGGAGCAGGGCAACCGCAGCCCCCGGGAGCAGCTGGGGAGACAAGAGGGCATAGTGGGTCTGTGCGGAAACCCCAGGCCGTGCGTCTCACAGGGATTGATTCGGTATTTGGACAACTTGTGACAGTACAGCCCCCACGCTGGAGTGGCTCCCTCAGAGTATCCGAGCATTCAGCCTTCCGTCAAGTCGTAAGCGCCCACCAGCGCTGGCCCCGAGGGCTCCGGGAGCCTCAAGTGCGCATGGCCATGGCTATATGCCGTCAAATGCTGCGTGCCATGCTCCTGCTCTATGCTGCCTACAAGAGGTGTGCCTTCACATTGCAACATTCCCACTGAGGGCCCGTCGGCCGAGGGCCAAAGGAAGCCAACCCTTGCTGCAACCAAGGGAATCTCCTTCCCTCAGTTACATCCTCTTTGAGATCTATGTGCTTCCAACTCTTGAGAAGTCTATTTCAATCGACTAAACATCTCCCGCTGATTGGGGATACCCAGAGAACATCTACAGGTGAACTGCAATTTGGCAATGTAATCATTATTATATTACATTATTGTATATGAAAGACATTTCAAGTAAACAGTATCATTGAAGGAAATATTTTTGAAACTCCAAGGTTTTACATATCCCCTTTGAGAAACAAGTCACACATTTGCACATGGTGAAGAACATTCACTCAGACAAACTGAGATAATTGGACTTCTAGGTGGGATGAACATGAAGTTGAAGAACATTTTTAATACTAGAAAGAATATTTAAGCAAATGTCAACATAAAAACCATTAAGGTACTAAAGAACAAGATTGAGAAATAAATCTTTTTGAAATCTATTAATTCACCAGGATTAGAGACTAAATGGCAAGAGTAGGGATGTATGCGGGTATTCTAAAAGAAGCTGTATTAATTACTAAATAAAATGAGCATCTCAACCACATTTGAACATCACACTTCCTAAACTGAACAATGCTTACTGCATTAATACACTATGGTTAGTAAATAAGCCTGAGGCAGTGATTTAAACAAATGTTATACTTTGTTCTCCCCTTTGTGGATTACTGCCTTGACGTGGTGCAGGGGCTTGTGTAACTCAATGAAGCTATGAGCTATGCCGTGTAGGGCTACCCAAGACAGACAGGTCACAACAGAGAGTTCTGACAAAATGTGATCCACTGGAGAAGGAAATGGCAACCCACTTCAGTATCTTTGCCATGAAAACCCCATGGGCAGTTGCGGCTTTGCTCCGCATTTGGAAGGCTGCCCACTGGGTGGTCGAATGCATCAAGAAAGACACCAACGCAGGTTCTATCTTGGATGAGCTGCCCCGATCACAAGTTCGGGAAGCTCTTTTATTAAAAAACACACAGTGATACGTTACAAGCAGTGAATTCTATCCAATCATTAAGTTACATGAGAAGGAATATTAGTGCACACACAGTAATATCCAATTACAGTGCATGGTAGTGTGAAAGGTGCAAGGTAACAAATCAGCGCCTGCATTACAGTTATCCGCCCATGATGACGTGTTTGTTGATTGGTGATCTCTGTTCCTGGTACGCTTTCAGCCTACGTGAGGCCTAGAGGCCTTGAGGCCTGGTATGTACCGAAACTATAGAAACTAATTTATTACTGCAGGCAGTACCAAAAGGCAAAAAGATATGGTGCTGGACGATGAGCCCCTCAGGTTGGAAGGTGTCCAATATGTTACTGGGGAAGAGCAGAGGGCTAGTACTAGTAGCGCAGAAAGAGTGAAGCGACTGGGCCAAAGCCGAAAGGACGCTCAGCTATGGATGCACCTGGTGATGAAAGGAAAGTCTGATGCTGTAAAGATCTGCTATGTGAGATCCGTGAATCAAGGCAAGCTGGACGTGGTCAAACAAGATGACAAGACTGAACATCGACATCTTAGGAATCGGTGAACTAAAATGGACAGGAATGGGTGAATTTAATTCAGATGACCATCAGGTATACTACTGCGGGAGAGAATCCCTCAGAAGAAATGGAGTAGCATTCATAGTCAATAAAGGAGTAGGAAAAACAATACTAGGATACAATCCCCAAAATGACAGAATGATGTCAGTTCGAATCTAAGGCAAACCAATATCACAGTAGTCCAAGTCTATGCCCCAGCCACTGGTGCTGAAGAGGATAATATTGACCCGTTCTCTGAAGCCCTACAGCACCTTATAGAATTAACACCAAAAAACGATGTCTTTATCATCATGGGGGGTTGGAATGCTAAAGTAAGATAACTGGAATAAGTTTGGCCTTGGAGTACAAAATGAAGCAGGGCACAGGCTAATAGAATTTTGTCAAGATAATATGATGGTCATAGCAAACACTCTTTTCCAACAACCCAAGAGACGGCTCTACACTTCGGCATCACCAGACGATCAACACAGAAATCAGACTGATTGTGTGCCAAAGATAGAGAAGCTCTCCACAATCAGTAAAAACAAGACCAGGCACTGACGGTGACTCAGATCATGAGCTGCTCATTGCAAAATGTAGGCTTCAATTGAAGAAAGTAGGGAAAAGCATAGGCCACACAGGTATGAACTAAATCATATCCTTGAGGAATATACAATAAGAGGTGACAAATAGATTTAAGGAATTAGATCTGATAGACAGAGTGCCCGAAGAACTATGGACGGAGGTTTGCAACATTATACAAGAGGTAGCAACTAAAACCAGCCCAAATGAATGCAGAATTCCGGAGAATAGCTTGAAGAGATAAAGGACCAAAATGGCAGGGACCTAACAGAAGCAGAAGAGATTAAGAAGAGGTGGCAAAATTACACAGAAGAACTATACAAGAACAAGGTTAATGTCCCTGATAACCATGATGGGGTGGTCACTGACCTCAAGCCAGACATCCTAGAATGTGAAGTGAAATGGGCATTAAGAAATCTGAGCAACAGCAAAGCTAGTAGAGGTGACAGTATTCCAGCTGAGTTATTCAAAATCTTAAAAGATGATGCAATAAAAGGGCTACACTCAATTTGCCAGCAAATTTGGAAAATCAATAGTGGCCACAGGATTGGAAAAAGTCAGTTTACATTCCAATTCCAAAGAAAGGCAATGCCAAAGAATGTTCAAATTATCACACCATTGCACTCATTTCACATGCTAGTAAAGTTATACTTAAAATCCTACAAGCTAGACTCCAGCAATATGTGGATCGAGAACTACCAGAAGTACAGGCAGGTTTCGAAAAGGAAGAGGAATTGCCAACATACGATGGATCATGGAGAAAGCTAGGGAGTTCCAGAAAAACATCTACTTCTGCTTCATTGACTATGCTAAAGCCTTTGATTGTGTGGATCACAACAAATTGTGCCAAATCCTTAAAGAGGTGGGAGTACCAAACCATCTTATTTGTGTCTTGAGAAAGCTATATGCAGGTCAAGAAGCAACAGTGAGAACTGGAAATGGAATCACTGATCGGTTCAACATTGAGAAAGGAGTCCAGCAAGGCTGTACATTGTTGCCCCGCCTATTTAACTTATATGCAGAACACATCATGAGGAATTAAAATTGCCAGGAGAGATAACAACCTCAGATATGCAGATGATACCACTCTAATGGCAGAAAGTGAAGAGGAACTAAAGGGCCTCTTGATGCAGGTGAAGGAGGAGAGTACAAAAGTTGGTTTGAAACTCAACATTAAGAAAACTAAGATCATGGCATCCGGCCCTCTCAGTTCCTGGCAAATAGATAAGAAATGGAGGTAGTGACAGATTTTATTCTCCTAGTCTCCAAGATCACCGCAGATGGGAACTGCAGCCAAGAAATTAAAAGAGGCTTGCTTCTGGGGAGGAAAGCTATGGCAAATCTGACAGCATACTAAAATGCAGAGATATCACCCTGCCAACGAAAGTGCGTATATAATTAAGGCTTTGGTTTTCCCAGCTGCAATATATGGCTGTGAAAGTTGGACCATAAGAAAGGCTGGGAGCCAAAGAATGGAGGGCTTTGAACTGTGGTGCTGGAGAAGACTCCTGCGAGTCCTTTGGACTGCAAGGCGATCCAAGCGGTCAGTCCTAGAGGAGATCAACCCTGACTGCTCTTTAGAAGGCCAGAACCTGAAGAGGAAACTCAAAGACTTTGGCCACCTCATGAGAAGGAAGGACTCACTGGAGAAGAGCTGAATGCTAGGGACGATTGAGGGCAAAAGAAGAAGGGGACGGCAGAGAATGGTCGACACGACTTCGCAACTAACAACACTTTGTTTTCAACAGATGAAGATACTTAAACAGACATGATTCTGATAGGTTAAAGAAGTCCAAATGCTCAGCCCCCCCACCTATTGGTGTGAGTGCCTGACCTTTATGAACAGCTCCCAATTTAATATATCTATATATCTGAAACACCAATATTCAGCAGGTACCAGCAGTGAAATGTGAGAAGCTTACATTTTAAAATAAACATTTTATGTTATTTTGATACTTCTACCAACTTTCAAATACACATTTTTAAACAATACATTAATATGGGGGAGATAAACCTTTCACTCGTCTCCAAAATCATTGTTACTGCTTTCAATATTATGCCAAAAATTTCAATTTCTGCATGAAATGGTGACAGAATTCCTCCTTGTTATTCTAAGACAAAAAATGGGTTATTGAGATTTCTGTAGATTTTAGTAGCAGAAGCGGCGCGTTCCTCCCAAGTGAAACGGAGGCTACGTTCAGAATGGACCGGGCCGATTTGAGCATTCAGAGGCTGATGCGAGGCGGGTTCAAGACCTCCCCGGAGGCTCCGGCCAAGCTGTCCTCGGTCAGAGCGGCGTCCCGAAACGGCTCCGGGCGGGACGGCAAGAGAAGCCCCCGCTGCCCCCGCTGCCATTCTTGCCGGCAGCCATCCCGCCCCCACCCCCGAAGCACTCTCGGAGGGGCAGGCAAGGCGGAGAAGGCGGGACGGGCCCTTTCAAAGGCCGATCGCCCCGCCCCCTCCCCCGGTTGCTCGGCTACCGCGCCGTCGCCCCGCCCCTCAAACGGCCCTTCCGCCCTGCCCGCGGCGGCTTCCGGCGGCGATCCGGCCATGAGGTTGACGGCGGCGCTCGGCATCTCCCACGGGCGGCTGCGGCGGCGGATCGGGCTCGGGCCGCGCTCGCGCCTCGACCTGCTGCGGAATCTCGTGACGAAACTGGTGCGCCACGAGAGGATCGAGACCACGCGCGTCCGCGCCGACGAGATGCGCTTCTACGCCGAGCACGTGAGTGGGGGGGGGGGAGACGGGCGGGAGGCGTCCCGGGGACCGAGGACCATCACCCCTCCCTCACCTGCCCCCCTCCGGTGTCGTTTTTGCCCCGCAGTTGATCGAACACGCCAAGCGCGGCGACGCGGACCCGCAGGCCATGCGCCTGGCCGACTTCTGGCTGACGGTGAGCGGCGGGGCGGGGCGGGGGGATCCGGGGGCGGGGGGGTCGCGGGCGAAGGCGCGGGACTGACCGCTGCTGCCGTCGCCGCCGCCGCCGCCTTGCAGGAGAAGGACCTGATACACAAGCTCTTCCAAGTGCTGGCGCCCCGCTTCGCTCCCCACCAGGGCGGCTACACGCGGATGGTGCGGATCCCCAAGAACGACAACCTGGACCGGGCCGAGAGGGCGGTGATCGAGTACAAGGGCAACCCGCTGCCGCCGCTGCCGCTGCCCCGCCGGGACGGCGAGAAGACGCTGGTCAACCAGCTGCTGAAGGGCTACCGGGAGGAGCGGGGCACGGCCGTGTGACGGAGGCCCGAGAGCCGCCGCCTCCTCCACCCACCCAACCCCGGTCAATAAAGGCCTCTCTCGGGGCGTCCTGCTTGTTGTCTGGGGCGGGAGAGGGGGAGAGGAGAGGAAGAGGAGGCAGCGCTTCTCTCCCAGCAACTGAGCCTGGAGAGGCCAGGGGTGGAAGTCTTTGCTAAGAACAGTGGTTCTACACACATGCCACCTCTCCATTATATGGGTATCCATTGTGAGAACCAGAATTTTTTTCCTTCACTACTGTAGAAAGTTAGCACCCACCCCTCTCCTAGAGGAATGAAATATTTTGAGAAATATTAAAAAGGCAGAATATTATATTTCCCTGGATGAGTAATGTAGAAACATGCTCTTGGAAAGCAGGCCCCACCATCCTTAAATAGCCCACAGCACTTAAGAGATAAAGAGATAGGTAGCAGTTCCCTGCATCAGGGTCTGAACAAAGGTAGGATTAGCCCTTGGACACAATAGGAATTGGCCAACAAGCCCCTTCATTGTGTCAGCCAAACTTCAACCAAGTTTAGCTCAGACAAACTCCTGGGATTTATACATAGAAGGCAATAGAATACATGTTCTTGCACAGGAAAAGGAAATTCCAGTGCAAAGCCCAAGAGAAGGTATAAAAACCCCTCACTCTGTACTGCATGTGGTCAGGTGGTCAGAATAACATGTGCTTGGTGGTTGTGCTTCATCAATAAGTAGACCCCCTTTTCAATCAGCCTCCAGCCTTCGTTTTGTCTCCAGTGCCTTTCTCCCAGCTTGGAACTGAACCAGATGGATATTTCTTCCAACACGAGAGTATTGATGTCTTTGTGGAGGGTTCCTTTCTCCTCTGTGCATCACATATTTCAATTAAGTTATTTGCCTCTTGGTTAAGTGTTATTGTGACCAAAGCCTGGCTCTCCTAAAAGAATAACTTGGAAGATACAAGGTGTTTATTAAGCAAACAAATAGCTACACTCAGCTCTAAGCTTGCTGAGCAGTCCTGACGAAAAGCAGAGTCACAGTATATATCTTTTGGTATGATACGTTACAAAGGTAAGCCAAAGGCAGACGCTAAATTACAGCATGATGTTGGAATGATTTTGATAAACCCACCTGGATGATTTTATTTTCCTGCTATGGCCAGGGAATATAAGCAATTCAGTTTATTGGGCCATCTATTCCTGATTTTCCTCCTGGTGCCATTCAGGGTCAATTCAGCCAGTTGTGAATGCTTTAATACAGGGGTGTCAAACTTGCAGTGTCACATGATGAATCGGGACTTTTCCCCACTTTGCTAAACAAGGTATGGGCCTAGCTAGCCTGTGATGCCTTCAGCCCACAGGCTGGGAGTTTGACAGCCCTGCTTTAATACAAGGTGCTTTAAGCAGTTCAGGTGTGTTTGGAGTGGAGTGGGGTTTCACGTGTGGCAATGAATGCTTTGTGCGGGCTGCCTTTTGCCACCTTTTAAGGTCCTTCTCAAGCTCTTCATAATCACTTCAGTGTTTCACAATCAGAATAGCTTTTTCCTTAAGACAAAAAACACCTGTCCTAACACTTCTGATTTCTATTCTTTGCTTTCTGTTTTTAAATGAGTTAATTCATAAAAGGACTGGTCATCTTATCTCACTATCATGAAGTTTAGAAGAGCCTTTGATGAGGACTTGGTCAAAGGGTTTTCGAGAGTCATGTCACATTGGTTACCCTTACCAGACCCTCTGGTACTGTTGTTTGAAGAACAAGGTGTGAATTTTTCCTAGGTCATCTGTTTCTCATTAAACAATTTTTCTTGGATGCCATCAAACTTGGTAATTCATACCTTTGGTACTTTGTCACCTCTCTGATAAAGTCAATTTTGAAGAAAAATCAGTGCCAAGAATTAAATTTGTCTACAATCTCCATAACATCCTTGAGGATCCCTTTCACTGCACTTAATCTGCTGTATTGTGTGTTTCAAATATATTAAATATTTTCAGTTGTTCCCCATCCAATTTTCCTTAAAATTAATATAATTATAACATTTTAATATTTGTTCATACATTTAGTTTATATGGCTACCTAGAGTCACTTAGGTAAGGCTGGAAGCCATACAAAATATTCTGTGGGAAAAACATGAAATATTGAATGTATGGAATATCTAATTTTTTTTTGTGGTGTGATTTTTAAAAGCATATTACTTGAAGCAGCATAGGCTTTGATAACACAAGAGTGGAATTCTATGCCCATGCTCATGTTTGGCGAAGCAAATTGGACGAAACCTTTGTTCTTACTAATTACTTTTTGTTTTTGGAATGGTCAGACTCTGGCTTAAGCAGCTTGGCAAAGAGAGAGTGGCTGGAATGGTGCCTGGATGGTCTTAAGGCAAGTGACCTCTTCAATAGAATTTACTAAGGGGAAGGACTGTTAATTCCTCACACAGAGGAAGAATGGGTGAAGGATACATTACCTCAAAGCAGGATGAACGCTATTCTCTCCTATTGAACCAGTATAAAACACCAGAAGGTGTTTTGTGATTTTCCTCAAGTTTCTCTGTAGTTCCAGGATCCCTCTACAGAGATGCACACGTGTGTACACACACACGCGCAAACCATTTAGGATGCCTGTCCGCTGTCCTCCACATGTTGCTATGACAAATAGCAACAACTGCTGTGGAAAATGCACTAAGTACTAAAATCTGCTGAATTTAATGTTAGATTTCTTCTTGGCTATTTCCTCATATTATCTCTTCTTAAGAAGTACAGTAACCTACAAATGATTATATTATTAGACTGTCTTTGAGTCATCTCTAGCATTTCTTAAAGCAAGTATCCATTTAGGAAAGGATAATTTTCCATATTGCAACATTTTAGAGTAAAAATATATTCAGAAAACTTTTATTCCTTGGACAGTCATAGAATTGTGTTTTCCCTACCCATCCTCCAGCAGTTTTTGGTATTGCTGCAGGCAGTCCCAACCTACACGTTGCAGAATAAGATGCATTTGAAAAATAAGTGTTACATGATTTGCATCCACTCATTTTAGGTGCAATTGGCAAACTTATTGTAGAAATTGTTTTGCTACGATAAATTGTAATGAAGTTGTTAAAAAGCCACCACGAACTGCTCCTTCCCTAAAAAATAGAATCCATTATCTGAAATTTGAGGAACGGGAAGATCTCCCCACTCACATTCCACTATTAGCAACAAAGATTCAAAATTGATCAGTGTTATTAATATCTGTTGAGAATAGGATTACATGTCTACATTCGGGGTTCTGGCTGCATAGAAGTCATGCTGAAGAATTTGAAAATGCCTAAAGCAGCAGTTTGCCCTGGTTGTACTGGTGGCATTGGATTATAGAGTGGCTCCCAAGCATGCAGTCCCAAGGACCTGCCCGTGTTTTTAAAACCCGAGTTCCAGCCCAAAAGCTTTCCTGTCTTGGCAGGCAAAACTAATCTCGCAATAGAATTCACAAGGAAAAACTACCACCATTCATAGCCATTAAAAGAAAACAAGATTTTTACATATCCCATTGTGCAAGATCTGTGGGTATGAAAAATAGTTTGCGTAGAATCCATCCTGCGGTGCCATATGAGAGTTGCTGAGGAGGCTACCCCATGGCCAGGGGGCTCCCGGTCTCTAGGCTCAAGGAGTGTGGCTGTTCTGGAGCGGGGCAGCAGCCTCTGAGCATTCCGCTTCTCTGGATGGAAGGAACAGGGAACGAAACCGAGGACAGAGCCGCGTTAGGGTTAGGCCTGGAGTTGGGTGTCCAAAGGAGGGTGGCGCTAATGTCTGCAGGTTGGCAGATTGCATCAGGCTGTTTCCTGCAGAGTCCAGCTGGCTCACTCAGCCTTCTGAGCAGGTGGGCTGCCACAGACTTGAAGCTCTCTGTAACAAGAGAGAAACAATCTTTCCACGGCCATCACTGAGACCAGAATTTCCGTCCCTAAGTCATAGAGTGCACTTACTTTGCTTTGCGATGACAATCTAGGCAGTCCCAGATGCAATTATTAGTGAGGCAACTTCCTGCCAGGTTCCACAATCAAGTCACTGGGGAAGCCAGCAGGAAGGTGCAAGTCCCAAGCGCTGCCAAGTGGAGGAGGGAGCAAGAGATGTGGGGAGGGTGTGCAAGGCCTCAGCCTCTGAAGCTGAAAATGCTGCATGGATTTTGGCATGGATCTTTTTCAGCCAGAGATCAGAGGGAGTCCTCTGGCAATTGGCTGCAACTTGCAAGCTTCCCTGCCAGCCTCTCCACTGATTTTGTGGCAAAGCCAGCAAGAAACACTGCAAATGATGATCGCAGGGGGCTTGGCAATTGGCTGTAAATGTAAATGGGATGCCAAATGCCCAGGTCCCAATATCACATGACCGCGATGAGGGTCTGCATCAGCTGAAACTTCAGTAAGTCTATTCAGCACCATTGTAACTTTGAACAGAATGAAAGGCTGTTGAGGGCTACCTCTCATGCCTTTCCTTTGAACCAAAGCACTGTCTCTGGGTCTGCTCAGCGAGAGACCATTATGGGCAGAAATTGAGTCAGTGGCTGTAGTGGAAGAGTTGACCAGGGAAGCCCCGGACTCACATACAGCTGCACTGTTATACTTACAATGCGGCCGCTGCCTCAGCCTAATTAACCCCTGCTGGGTTGTGATAAATGATTCCTTAAATATTATTCTGAGCACTTTAGAGAAAAAGTAGGAGGGATGTAGCCTACCTTATAGCCACCACCAGATTCTGGTGCCATTTGGCAAAGTCGTCCTGATCGCAAGACATTAATAGTAGTTTTTTTTGTGGGAAAGAGAGCTGAAAAGAGAGAAAGAAGGACAGGAAATGCTGTGTGGCCAAAAGAAAAGAGTTTCCAATTCATCCATTCCAAAGTCCCTGGCTAGAGAGTCATCGATGCCTGCTGCCCCTTCTTAGCATTAGCCATAGTTGTGCCTCCCATATTACCCAGTCATGGGTTTCAAGGGAGAGGAGTGGGGGGGGGGGGAAGAGCACTTACACTGAGCAGCCCTCCTTGGCTCTGGGTGTGACCAAAGACCTTCTCCACAACACAGTGACTGAGAGGGTAAATGGCCTGGCAAGCAAACTTGTGTGACTTCCAAGGATGGAGCGAGTGGCAAGGCTTGGTTAACAACAAGATATCAGAGAAAAGGAAACACCTCCTGCGCTGCATCTCCTTCCCCTTGGAGGGGACCTCCATCAGCCAACCTTCCTGGAGATACCAGCGCCCTGCATGGAAAAAGAACAGAAACCCAGGAACTTATTAAGCAAGCTCTGAAACCATCTGAGGCCCATCCAGGACTCCAGGAGTGGTTTCTCTGGGAAAGGCAGAGGGATTAACGACAACGATTGCTGAGGCAAGCCACTGGCACGTAATTCCAAAACTGAGCTGCTGACTTCAAAAAATACTCTGATGGAGCATTTCCAAGTGATAGCTGGATTCCTAACATGTCAAAGAGATTTACTTTAGACTCCTCAGCTGCGAGGAGAGCAGGGTGGCAAAAAGAACCCTTGAGAGCTGCATGTATCAAGGCTTTCTGTTTCTGAAAGTCCAAGCCAGCACCTTATTACTACTAAATTTATCCACTAATCTGATATAGCATTTTGTACTCATTGGATTTCCCAGCCCCCATCTATGTTTGGCAGGTAATATTGCAACTGGCACATTAACTAAGAGCAGGTAGCAGTTTCCCAACCCCCTGAACTGAACCAGGGAGCCCCCCACACTCTGGTGGGAGCTCTAAATCCAGAGCGGTTATCCCCACTAGTGGCAGCACATAGGTCTAGCTCTGCTTTCAAAGGTGTCTCTGTAACAGCTTTCCCCTGTTGATTGGGGAGGGGGATCCTAGGGCGAGTCGGTGAAGATGAACTTGGCTCAACTGGGCTTCTCCACCTGCTTTACAACAGTCACAGAGTGAGGCCATTCTTTACTTTGCTCCTCTCTAAATCATCATTTCATTGGATAAACATTTATGAAACAACATGCCTTGTTCATTGGTGCACCGGTCACTCGAAAGCCCTCTGAAGGTCAAAAGCTTGTGCAGTTGATTGCGTGCCTGGTTGGGCTGATAGGTTTCCCCACCTGGTATGCCTGTACTTTAAACAGTCCTCATACCACCACCCACCCACCCCAACTGAGTCAGACTTGTTAGTTTAAAAAAAGGATTAGCATGTTTCTTCTTTATCAGTTGGTAATGATATTGATTTTTTTTGGGTGTGTGCCTTCAAATCAGTGTTGACTTCTGGCAACTGCCTGGAGAAGTCCCTGCAACTTTCTTGGCAAAAATTCAGAAATGGTTTGCCCACCTTCTCCTTCCTAGGACTGAGAAAGAAGGACCAGCCCAAGGATACCCAGCTGGCTTTGTGTCTAAGGTCTAGAATTCATGGTCTCCTGGTTTCTAGCCTGATCCTTACATTGTAGCATTAATTGCTGGTTTTATTCTATGTCTGATCTGTGTTTAGTCATAGCCCCATCATGATGGTCTAGAATGAGGGCTTGACCACCAAAACAGAGGCCTCACCTGGAGCCAGCACTTGGGCCTTCCGTCCCTTGAGCTGTTTCTGAATCCGTCTCATCATCAACAGGTTCTCATGGACACGAGCAATTTCCTGGACTCGGCGCAGGACCTCCAAGACAGACCTCAGGGACCCTGCAAGTGACAGCATGTCACCCAAGAGCAACGTCACCTGTTCCCCTACCTGGGTAACTGGGGGGAAAGCCACCCCTACAAAGTTCTATCAGGCAGGAATTGGGGGGTGTCTCTGCTGTTGTGATGAAGAGCTGAACAGCTGAAGGTAAACATTTAGGAGTGTATTGCAGGGCTTAGTTAGAATCTTACCTTGGAATTGGTCAAATCCAGAGCTCTCTGGGGGAGTCTGCTCCACCAAATCTTGCAGCAGGTGCCTATACCTACAAAACAGATATCAGAGGTGAAGGAGATCTAAGCAATCGCCTCTCAACTGCACATCAGAGATCCCAGCCTGCGCCACCACACACACACACATTCCACCTCCACCCCACTTTGCAAAGCAAGAAGTGAGGCAAAGCTCTTTCGGTCATGGCCCCCAGCAGCCTCTTTTGGGAGCTCAGGGAGGAGTGGCAGGTGCAGTTCGGCTTCCCAGCCAGAGAAGGGAGACTTGGCTCTTCTGCCACTTACTGATGGAGCCTTTGCAGGGGCAGAGGCAGCAGCTCTTCCAGCCGGCAACCTTTAAGCTCTGGACGGGATTCCTGAAGCTTCTTGAAGCGGGAAAAGGCTTTGTTCTTCTTAATCAGTTTCTGCAGATGCAGCCCAGTAAAGGAGAGAAGCAAGTTAGGGTGGCTGGCCAGCAAGTTCTGAGAACAGATCCCCAACCTCATCGCCAGACCAAGATCTTGGCCAAAAGAACAACCCAAGGATGCCCTTGGCTGCCAAAAACAGATAGCTGGAAGAACAAACCAGAGCGGGGAGAGGGGGGGAGGTAGGAGAGGGGGGACGACTGCTGGGCATAAAGAACCACCTCCCCCACCCCCTCTGACCTGTGAAGTCACCTGCAGTAAGCAATAAGGGCACACCTTCAGGATGTTCTGGGCCACTTCCAGATTCTCTGCATAATGGACATAGAACACCAGCTGGTGGCAGAAACTCTCGAGTCCCAATGCAAAATGGCCTCTGGTCAGGTGGAAAAACAGTGTCCTGCAAGCAAAGAGAGGAGCCTTGAAGGAAATGACCAGGGGCCGGTGGCCTTTCTGCACTCGCCTTCTTCCTGGAAAAAACAAGGCCACACAAGCAGCTACCCAACAGCATATGCAAGAACAAAGGGTACAGCATAAAAAGGAGCAGAAACTGTTCAGAGGTCCAACTTCCTCTGCACAATCTGTCCTGCATTTTTGTGAGGCTCTCTGAAGTGACCTGACCAATTACATGTGCCTTTAAAAAAGCCACGTACACCTTTAAGGGCAGAATCTATCAGCTGACAGAATGGCACTTGAGGGGCCTTTGGAGCTCTCTGAGCTTGGCTGTTTTCTTGCAGACATTTCATTATCCAAACTAGGTAACATCAGCACAACACAACTCACAGTGAGGGCAGAAGTCCCTAACCCAGTCTTATTACGCTTTGCAGTCTTATTATGCTTTGTGACCTTGTTGCACAACACGCCGGCCCTGCAAGTCTATCATACTATGGTGACATTAAGTTATTTTCCGTTCAGGAGTCTGACAGCCCACGGGTAGAAACTGCTCTTCAGCCTGTGGGTGCGGCTGGCTATGCTTCTCTATCTCATACCCGATGGCAGGAGTGAAGAAGGGCTGACCGGGATGTGGGTCATCCCGGAGGATTTTCCCCTCTTCTAAGGCAGTGAGCCCTAACGAGGTCATCTAGTGGTATCAGGGAACAGCCCGCAATGTTTTGTGCTGTGTTCACCACCCTCTGTAATGTCTTTCTATCCATGGCTGTCAAGCCAGCATACCACACCATGATGCAATATGTGAGGACGCTTTCTATTGTGGACTGGTAAAACGTGGTCATCAGTCGTTGATCCACTTTATTCTTTTGCAAGACCCTATGGAAATGGAGTCTCTGTTGGGTCTTTCTGGCCACCTGGGTTGTGTTGGTTTTCCAGGTGAGATCTTCGCTGAGGTAGACTCCCAGGAATTTAAAGGAGGAAATTCTCTCCTCACAGCCCCCCTCGATGTAAAGTGGGGTGGGTTCCTCTCTCTTCTTCCAGAAGTCTAACACCATCTCCTTTGTCTTGCTGATGTTTAGGTGCAGGTTGTTTTCTAGGCACCGTGAGGATAATTTTTGAACCTCCCCCATTTCGTCTCAATGGAGCTACATCTATATGGAGTATGTAGTGGGGGGGGGGGGGGTGAGAACTTGCCATGGCCAACTCGCCATGGGACAATGTAACAATGTAACAATTCTATGTGATCATTTAAAATAAATTATTTTAATTTTTGCCATTCACGTTTTATTCTTCCTTTTGCATCCTTTCTTCTAATGATTCTGGCGAGATGGCAATGGCAAGTTGTTCTGCAACAAGTTGGCCATGGCAAGTTGGCTGTGACGAGTTAGCAGGGGTGAATTGACTATGGCAAGTTGGTCATGGCAAGTTGGCCATGGTGAATTGTCATAGACCCGCAATGGGGCACCTCAAAGTTTGGTCTTGGGCCCAGAACTCTTCAACGCCTTTATAAGTGTCTTGATGAGGGGATAGAAAGAGAACTCATCAAATTTGCAGACGACAGCAAGCTGGTGTGTGTGTGTGTGTGTGTGTGTGTAAATAGCCAACACTTTAGATGATAGAGTCAAGATTCAGAAGGATCTTGGCAGATTTGAGCATTGGGGCCTACCCAACAAGATGCAGTTCACCGGTGAGAAAAGTACGGTCCTGCACTTAGGCAGAAAAACCAGGTGCACAGGTATAGAATGTATCTGGATTGACAGTACAGTAGTAACTGTGAGAGGGATCTAGGTGTCCTGATGGATGATTGCTGAGTCAGCAATGTGCTGCAGCTGCCAAAAAAGCCAGTGTGGTTCTAGCTGCATCAATAGGAAGACCAATGAAGTGACAGTACCGCTCTATACTCTACACTAGTGAGGCCACATTCGGAATTCTTCACCCCGCTCTGTTCAGCATGATACGAAAAGGATGCTGAGGCTCTAGAAAGAGTGCAGAGAAGAGCAACAAAGATGACCAGGGATCTGGAGGCAAAATCATACGATGAACGGCTAAGGGTACTAGGCGTGCTTAGCCTAATGAAAGGGAGACACGACAGCAGTCTTCCAGTACTTAAAGGGCTGCCATGATGGGAAAGGAGGCGTCCGTTTGTTCTCCGTAGCGCCTGAGGGCAGGACTAGAAGCAATGGGTGGAAGCTCATCAGAGGGAGATTCAACCTGGAAATAGAGGTGAATTTCCTGACAGTGGGATCTATCAATGGAGCAGCTTGCTTCCTGGAGGAGTGGAAGTTCCATTGCTGGAGGTCTTCAAGACAAGATTGGACAACCACTTGTCCAGTATGGTTAAGGACTAGCCTTGGACAGGGGTTGGACTAGAACACCTGCAAGGTCCCTTCCAATTCTATGATTCTATGGTTCTATGAAATAGAGCTAACTCCAATCACTGCATGAAGATGTTGTGCTAAGGAATCATGTAATATTGCTAAAATGTGTGTTATTCACACATTTCCAACATAAATTTGAAGTGCCTTTGTACACTCTAGATAATTTCTCTGGTGATTTACACTAACAGCATATCATTTATAAAAATCTATAACATTAGAACATAATGTAAATTTCAATATTTTTGGTCACATCCTTTCCCCATTGTTCCATTCTATATTGTAATCAAAATTTGTAGCTCATTTTATCATACTTTCTGGCATGCAACTTTAGTTTTTCAAGCCATATCCTACACACAGCAACATCCAGATAATACTATGATGGAGCCTGTGAACGCTCACTTCCATCACCCATAGAGTC